TATCTAGATAGTTGCTTATGTCATTGCACGATAGACCAGTTAGATGAATGCAGAAAATAAACTCACTAATGCAATGAGATAAATTATTGATTTTTAAATAAAACTGCTTTCTTCCGTAAGAATTTATTTTTGCCAAAATATTTCAAGTCTAAAAATTTACTCGAACTCACTTTCTCTCGATTAAATGCAAACACGATCGATACAACAATTCGCAAGGAAACACATTTCTTCTTATTCGAGATACTTCAACACGAGTTATGATTATTGAAGCGACGACTGAATGAGGCGACGACTATTTTACACCGTCACTCGAATACTTTCTACAAAATTCTCGCGAAAAATTGGCACCGGACGATATACGTACATGACGCTGAAATCGATGTCACTGAATTCGACGACGATTGAATAACGCGCGAGTAGGTATCGGGTAACTCGACGCACGTGTCGAGTCAAGAACGGTTCCTGAAGAAGTGAGCCTGTACTATGACAGCGGATAAAGTTAAATACGGAGGCATGGAAAACTTTCTCCGGCTTTCTCCATAATTATATAAAAAAAAAATTAATCTCCGACTCGTGTGCCACGGATAAACGGAAAAAACGGTCCTATTTTGGAGGAAGAGTCGCTTTGGAATTTCGTGCTTCAGCCGAACGCACGTGAACCAACCACCTAACGGTGTACTGTGTCATAATTTACGCCAAGTATTAATATTGAAAGTGTCATAATACTTTAATCAGTAATAACATGACAGGATAAAATAAAATTTTGCATTTAATTATTGAAAAAGCATTATTCAACATGGCTGAGAATTTTAAATAAATATCTGATTAAAAAAGATGGAACTTTTTGCTAATACCATCCACTCGGCTATGGAAACAATTTTCCGAACATTTTTAGGATCTATGATGTGGAATTTAAAAGCTTGTAAATAAATTACTCTTTTGAATAAAAAATGTACGAGATGTCGAAATATATTATGAAAAGTAAAATGAGGTGTTCACTTACTGTAATTAATCTAAGAATAGAGGGTGATAGTAAAGTCGCCACAAAATCGAACTTTTCACGCTGAAGATATCTAGAAATGTGTGCTGAAGTATGAGTTGTAGGATATAGGATACCAAACTTGAGAAATGCTTGTATATCTGTCCGTAGTCGATTATAAACTGTTATGAGAATGCTTGATTCTGTTAGCAGCTCTTATCTAACAATAGAGAAAAAACGTTCACTTTTATTTTAGCCTATTACTCAGGACGCGTAACTTATTATATAATATGTATCCATTTA